TAATTATGTCCCCACTGGATGCAACAAATGCCTTGTTTATAATGGGTTTGATTGTTTTTGTCTCGTTGCTCCGCCGGACAGGGCATCACAGTATGGTAGGGGCGTAACATTTCCGTCACACACTTGAGGTATTCGGCCAATCACAACGCACTGGATAGCTGGCCAATCAGCGCACACCTCGCTTTTCAGACTGATGAGCTTTGTAAAAATCGACACGTTTCAGAAAGGCGGGGCATAGAGGAGAAACAATAATGTACAGTATGTGGGAAATAATGTGTTTTTTTAACCTTAAACCGCATAAACACATTTCATTACACCAAATACACAAACTAATGTTCTTTTTAGCAACATCATATGACCCCTTTAAATGCATATAGGCCTATGTCGTGCACTTACTTCAAATGCATAATCTGTTTTCCGTTCACACATATGAGCTTCACCTGTAGAAACTACACACACAAAACCACTCACATATGGTAGAGTCCATTTATTCAGAGAAAAATCTCTGAAATATTTTACCTCGGTTGTAAGTGTGGGAGTATGCTATGCTTGAGAATGAGCAGGGCATCTTCACCTATAAAACACATGACATGCAAAAAAAAAAATATCACTTGTATTAATGTCCTAGGACTATTTGTAGAAAAAAGCGAGATGTCTGGCAGGAGAAATCAGTCACCATTCTGAAAGAAGAAGCAATGAAATTTAATGGAGACTGAGGCTGTCATTCTGCCTAATATCTTATTTTTATTCCTCATAAGAAAGAAAGTCATCCAGGTTTGGAAGAACATGAGGATGTCAGAATTTTATTTTGGTAAACTGTCCTGTCTACAACTGGGGCAAGTTCAAGCTCAAACCGTTGTGCACCTTTTTGCTACGGTTTCCAGGTTGAACGACATGGTTTCCTGGAAACGGTGTGCAACGGTGTGCAACGGGGTTTGAGATGCGTTTTCTCTTGTTTGGTGGGGGTTGCACCACCGTTTCAGTTTAAAAAACGTTTTGCACCGTTTTGTCTGGGCTGAACGCAGCCCTGGTCTCTGTTTACAACTTTCAGGGCATTGAGAAGAGCCAATAACTTGCATAACCTATACACATAGAAATACGAAAGTGCACACAATAAAACTGACACACTTAATACATTAAGGGTGTAATCTGAACGTTTTAAATTTACGCCGCGCTCGCGAGTTGACGCATCAGATAAGCGACTCTCTCACCGCCTGCCATGATTTCTGCTCGCGCCTCCGGAGTCCGGACACGTACGGTTCATACAGTCCGTCTGCAAACCTGCTGACAGATATGCGCTCATGACTGGGGCGGAAACATGACTGTTTATTCTGGTAAAAGTCTGAAATAGAAATATCTGCTCATATAGCCTATATCTAATCTATGTATACATAGCCGGGACTTTTTTCTCACACGTTATTTTTGAATGACAGTTTCTGTAGCAGGGCAAATTGTCACTACATGGGTTAAGCTGTCACAATGATAGCTTACACTTTAATTGCCTTATGTTGTTCACTTGGTCATTCATAAGCTACAGAGCCACCAAAAAAAACAAAACAAATCCTATACAAGACCCTAGCTGTTTGGAACCCAAGAAATAAAACAACTAAAATGTATAAAATGCATAATGAATCAAAAGAAAATATATATTTGTACGATTTTTCTCACTCCAGCGGGTGCTTGAAAATATACTACAGAAAAAGAAAATGTAAAAATGTAGCCTATTTATACATATTACAAGTAATTAAATTATGCATAAAGCATGTCCCTGCTGTGTTATAGTGTGCTGACATGTGTCATAATTAATTAATAGTGTTGTGTTGAACTGTGCTGAAACCTTAAACAGGTTTGTGTTAATTGATTTTAACAGAACAATTTTTTCTAACAGCTGAACCACTTTAACATAATTATTTAATCTGTTAGTAATTATACCAGAATAATATAACAGAAACCATCAGAAGCACAAACACTTTGTATAAAAATGAGAGCAACTAGGCTAATTATTTTCTGAAACGTTTTAGTTGGATGTTCATCTAACATTTTTTAAATGTTAGGCCTACTTGTTTCAGAATGTTTAAAGAACATTCAAAAGTAACGTTCCCATAATGTTTGAAAAATGAAAAACGAATGTTCCCTTATAACCAAGAAAAAGGTAAAAAAAAAAAAAAAAAACCTTGAAATATACAAACAAACAAACTGGACATTTTGAAAGTTCAGAGAACATTCATTAATAATGTTTTCATACAGCGAAAATTCACCCAAATATGAAAATTCTGCCAATTTACAAGTTCCAAACATGAGTTTCTTTTTTTCTGTTGAACACAAAACAAGATATTTTAAGACTACCAACAAAGCAGTTGGTAGTCCCCACTGACTTAGTATAGAAAATGATGGAAGTCATGGGGATTAAAAACTGTTCAGCCATATTATTCAACATATCTTCTTTTGAGTTCAGCAGAAATAAATTCATAGGCCTACAGGGTGCAACAAATGGTGAATAAATGATGACAGAATTTTCATTTATGGATGAACTATCCCTTTAATAGGAACATTAATAAAACGTTTAGAATAAGCATTTTGTTAGCTAAAAAACCTGTAAAAGAAAGCTTTTTTAACAAACGTATAGGCCTATAGCCTATTTATAAAATTGCGTATAAGTTCACATTTCCCTACAGGCTAACATTTTACTAACGGAAAAAAGCACCTGTTCCTCCTAAATAAGGCACACACATGAATACATTATTAGTATAATGCAGGGTGGTGACTCAGTAACTGTCCCGTTTCTAGACTAGTCGCTCCTGCTGGGCATTCATGTTTGTGCTCCAGCATTCCCACGACAGGCAATTTGAAAAAAAAAAATGGATGAATGCATTTTGTCCATGCTGGTGATTATTCAGGGCAAGATGCAAACCAGCTGATCCCGTGTGGGAGGCCCTTTGACCCCGTACTCTGTATGGATTGCTCTTGCGCGCGCATCGGTGCTGATTTGAGCAGGTGGAGCTGCGCTGCTCTCCCTCGGCGCGTCAGTGCGTCATCTGCAGTCTCTCAATTACCGGCGGTTGAATTAGATTCATTAACACGAATGAACAAAGTCCCGGTTAATTCCGAAGAGACTGTCTCTCGATTAAATCTACAGCGTGAACTAAACACACGACGGAATGCAAGAGCATTTTCATTTTGGATTTACTCGAACCGCAGCCAGTTATTCCATGACTCATTCCGGCGATTCTGTCATCTCAGAAATAAGATGCTCTTCGCCTCATATAAATAAACCCCACCGATGCTCGAGCTGCACCGACAACCGACTCTCACAAACGAGGTAATTTCCGGAGGACACCGACTGAGGTAAGCATGAACTCAAATCATGCCTTTTACAAAATGACATAAATGTTCACTTTAGCTATGTTAATGTGCTGCATAAGAAAGTGTTAGTTAATTAACTGAAATAATTGTTTGTAATGAAAGTAATGAAATCGAATCAAAAGTCTGAGCCCATGCACTTTTTTTCTTAAAGCCAGAAATAATGTAGCCAACAGAATTTTGAAAAGTTATGACATGAAAATTTACACTGCAAAAAGAAAAAAGAAAAAATGCAATAAACATAAAAGCATAACAGGATGACTACACTGTAAAAAATGACCGTGAATTTAATGGTAAAAGACTGTAAAAATGCTACAGTAAAAACCTGTTAAATGGTTAACGGTAAATTCCCCTACTATATACGGTGAAAAACTGTATTGGATATTACATGTATTGGACATTAATTTTACGGTAGTAGGCTATACCGTTTTTGGAAGTGAAAAAGACCGTATAATTTATTGCATTATTTCAGTTTCATGTGTGTTACCATGATGGTGTTTGGTGTTTGTGTGAATGACACTGTGCACCTTCTATATATGCTATTATTTATAAGCTGCTTGTGATGGGCTTTGGTTCATCATGTGACTTTCTCATCACCACCTGCATTTGGTGGTTATCAGTGTATTACAAAGTTACAAAACAGATTTCAGTACTTCAATAGGTTGGTATATTAACATTTTATCGGTTAATGAAATTACGGTATTTAACTGTAAATTTAAGTTAAAACTGTAAAACCTAAAACGTTGCTACCGTATTTTTTATGGTAAAATTCCGGCAACCACAGCTGCTGGTTTTTTACCATACATTTTACGGAATTTTTTTTACAGTGTAGCCGGTGTAACTGCCCGTATGTCAATAAAAATGCATGTCAAATGGAACAGAATATGTTTAGATCATACTAAAAAAAAAAAGTGAAATATAGGTCTGGTTTCACAGACAGGGCTTCGGTTAAACCAGGATTAGGCAATAGTTCAATTAGGACATTTAAGTAGTTTTTATAAACATGCCTTAGAAAAAAACAATACTGGTGTGCATCTTGAAACAAAACAAGGGCATATTTTAAGATCAGTTAGCACCTAGTGCAAGTTTCTTTCAGTTGAAACAGCTCAAATTTACACTTTAGTCTGGGATTAGGCCTAAACCTTGTTTGTGAAACCGGGGGATAAGCATTTTCTAGTAGTCTCAGACTTTTGGAACCCATAGCTATATGGACCTATAGAGAAAGTATTAGCCTAAGCCTATAGAAGTTGTCATGAGCACTTTAAAGAATAAAAAGAGAAAGAAAGAAAAAACACGTCCTGGACACGTTTTTATCGCCTATTATAGGCTATACGTTTATTCAGATTACAAGGGAGTTTGCCTCAATGAAGCTGCACGTGCTGCTCGCTGCTGTGTCTCTCGGTGTCTTCGTCTCGCTTTCTGGATGCGCTCCCGGACACACGAACACGCAGCTGCCGGTTCTGATGCGCTTAGGAGAGGAGTACTTCATCAGGCTGGACAACGCTGACCGGAGATCACCGTCACGCACCGAGGCGCTTCAGCTGCAGCTCACGCAGCTCGGTCGTGTCGGTAACGGGATCATGAACAGCCTCGAGGAGCGGGAGCGCCGGTCGGAGGATCCGCCAATTTCGCTGGATCTGGCTTTTCAACAGATGGCGCGAGCCGAACAACTGGCTCAGCGCGCGAGGAACAACCGCAAGATTATGGACAATTTAGGAAAATAATACATGATTTACATTATATGTACACGCATGTTTTTATTTTCATTTCTAAAGTGACAATGTTCAGAGTTCTGAATACTTTGTGTTTAGAGTCTTTTTGTAGTAGGCCTTTTCCTTTGTCTTCCTTTTAAGTTATTAAGAAACCGGCATCTCCTCAGTATTAACATATACAAAAGACAAGATTTAGGCTATACATGTTCATTATCCTTTATTTTGCATTTGTCAACTACTTCAGAAAATATTATCAATTAATATTTAACAGTTGTGTTTTTTTATCTTTTCCAATTTCTACCTTGCTATTAAATGTATATGACTGTCAAAGTAACAAAATATTAGCCTAGTTATGAAGTACAATAGGTTTTCTGGAAAGTCACTGTGACGTTGCAGGTTTACTAATATAGTCAGGTATTATTTTGGCGTATTTAACCAGGAAAAAGAGAAAACGTGGCGTGGGCCATCCTCAGATGTCTGGCTGGGACCGGCAGTTACCTAAAGATATGGAAAAGGAGGAGAAAGTGAGATGGAAAGAGACAGATGGTGGTGGCTGGACAGATAAATGGAAACAGTAAGACAGAGCAAAAGGGTTTTCATAGTGATTTGTGAACATAACAGAATACAGCATCTATCTGTGGTCATATGAAATAGATTTGAAATGACTAAAAGGGTAGAGACGGGGCAGGTTAGAGATTGGCATTTAGGTGTTTTGTGATTGTCACTCATAATTCAGGATTATTCTGGTTTTGTCCTCATAGCTCTTGGGACAAAAACTTTTAAGTTTTGACTAGCAGCTCAGATTGCTACAAAGCCTATTCCCCATGTTTAAATCCCATTTTAACACTCTAAAAAATGCTGGGTTAAATACAACCCAGCGCTGGGTGAAATATGGACAAACCCAGCTATTGGGTTGTTTTGACCCAGCGGTTGAGGGAAATGTTTAACCCGACCTTCTGGGTAGTAACCCAACCACTGGGTCAAAACAACCCGATAGCTGGGTTTGTCCATATTTTACACAGCGCTGGGTTGCATTTAACCCAGCATTTTTTAGAGTGAATGATGGACAGCCTCTGGATGGACAGTGTTTATATTGTTCTTTAATTCTGTTTAGTTGTATTGCTCAGGACACTTTCAGTTATTACACAATTCTTTCTGGTTTCTGATTATATAAGTAACTGAATTTACCAATGCATATATGAGAATGATATTGTGACATTCATGAAATCTCTTGTGGCCAATAATGTGGCCAAAAGACATGATCTGTAGATTTGTAGAAAAGATTGTTACACTCTTCCCAGGCAGGGAGTTGCATTTTATTTGTCTCAATTTCTCTTGTTGGTAATAGTTGGTAATACTGAAAAAGTAAAATCTTTCTTTTCATGAATGTCCTACATCTGACATGGCTAACATTTTCACTTTTCAACATATTGAATTCTGTAAGAAAACTTGTGCAGTAGAAATGTATATTTCTGCAATATAATTAACTGAATTTGTCAGCACATGTTCTACTTTGTTTTACAAAAAGTATAACTTGACAAATTTTAAGTCCCATAATATAAAACAAAGGACAATAAACTACAAAAGTGTCCATATTTTGGTGTCCGTGGTCTTGTACTGTCTGGTTTTTAGAAAAAAAGTATAAGCATGAAGGTCCACCACTAACTCACTAGGATTCAACAAAACATAAAATAGTTATAAATTGCCATGTTAGTTTGAGTCATAAGGTAATCTCAGCTAAATATAAGCTGATCCCAATACTGCAGCCACTGATCCCTATACGTCCTCGGATGTTTTTCTGTGTCTTTCACTAACTGAAGTTAAAAACATTTACAGACCAATCCTAAAAAATGGTGTTAAATGATCAGAATTCCAAGGCATCACAAATATGGATAAGAGTAAGGGAGACAGAATTTTACCTGAGCAGGTGCGTCTGTGGAAGAGTTGAGACAGACGTCTGGAGTGGGTGTAAATAAGGGTGTGCTCTCTGCTGAGTTGGTGTTCACTGATTGGCTAGGTTTTGATGACATCTGGGAGGTATCAGTTGCCATTGGTGGAGGGTTTGGTACAGGGGTTTGTCTCTGCAGGGTTGGGATGGGCGTAGCCCCTAAAGCTGCCATGGGTGGAGGGTTCGGTACAGGGGTTTGTCTCTGCTGGGTTGGGGCAGGAGTAGCCACTGAAGATGTCTGAGTCTCTGGATTAACAGTAACTGCTAATTCTTCCTCCTCATCATCCTCTTCATTGTCATCACCATCTACAATAACAGAGAGAAGGATCTTCTATAAAGAAATAGTTTAAAAAAAAAACTAAGTTAAGATTAGAGTTGGTTTACCCTTGGTAAAATCTATGCTGAGTATTGCTCTTCGTTCAGGGCTGAAGTTTACAGTAAAATGATCCATATTTTCATAACCACGTTCCACCTTTTCTAAATGAGACACATTCCTGCCTTCTGCTATCCTGAGATGAAGACAGAATGAATAAGATGGCATAATTGAGAAGTCAACAAGTTATATTCAGTAAAATAATTATTTGAATCTTACTTTTGTAGTAGAGGCTTCGTGTTCTGTTAGAGAGACACGTAGATTAAAAACATAGTATTGCATTGCTTAGGAAAAACATGCTGTCTTTTCTAATACTTAAGATATATTACTTTAAGTGTTTCTGCTAAAGAAAAGCATGCAAGACTACAATAATAAAAAAAAACTTGGCAGACCTGCAGAAAGATTGCCATCTCAGATTCCTCCATCGTCTGAATTCCTGTCTCCACTAGTTTGGCTGTGTTATCCAGGTGATCTCTGTACCTGCATAGGTGATTGCTGTGATTAGCAGAGTGTGTAAACATACACCTGCCTAAACATACTTATTATGGAAACATAGAGAAAACATGCTGTAAAGGACATTACAAACCTTTGAGTGAAGCAGATAGATGAAATAAAATAAGATTTGATTAACGTTTATCATATATATATATATATATGTATATATGATGAAGTATATTTAACATTTTTCATCAGACAAATACTGTAGAAATACTTTTTTATTTTGTGTATAGTGTGCATTTTTGTGTATGTGCATGTACTTGTGCTGTAGGCCACCGATGTAGTCAAGTTTCTCCTGCTGTTCTGCGGTGATCTTCAGTGTAAGTTCTCCTCTGCGCTCTTCCAGAAGAGCGTACAGACGATCAAACCACTCACATACACGAGACTTCTGCCTTCGACCATTCTCCTACACACAATCACACATGCACTGATATCATTACTTGGACCGAATTGTGAGAAATAACTGAAACAGTCATTCCTGCTGATAACACATACTGACCTCCACAGCTCTGCAGCTTTCCTCCAGCTGACTGATGATGCCCTGAATTCTGTCATTGTTGCCAACCAACACAGCAACGCCATCAGACAACTCGGTCTGCACAAACAATCACATAAATATAAACTGATCAATCATCATGATGATTAAACACAGAGGTGCAGGGAGAGGAAAGCAGAAAGATAGATTTAAAGCAGTCTCACTTTCTGGGTTTCGTAGACAGATTTGAGTGGAGCAACTTCACAGGACTGATGACTCCCAAAGACTTTACATAGTGAACATGTGGGAACAGAGCATGTCACACAATATATATTCATCTTCTCATCCTGATGCTCCTCACACATCAACACATCGTTCTTCAGTTCTGGTTCAGGCTTACTGCTGCTGACAGAGAGATTTTAAATAAATTACCTTTATTTAGACCTACTAGATCTTAAAATGTATATAAGTATATAGAGTATAGAATATTAATCTTCAAAAAAAAGAGGGGAGGGGAGGGGGGGGGGGGA